GAGCAAGGCTCTTTCTAATACGCTTTTTAGGATTCGGGACCCGACAATTCACTCAGGGTGTTCTTTTCACTTGATGAAAAAGCTGATGTGAAGCCTTCTACTGTGCCGAAATACAATTTCACGGTATGCTTATCAATTTGGCTTCTTCGGACAAGATTATTATTGATTGTTTAAGGCAGAAGCTTCATCTTCGGAGGTATTGCAAAAGCTGAACGAAACGATCACTAAGGGAGATTGGAAATTCAGTGTGACTTCTGCGGGCGGAAAAACCGAGGTTTTTGTTTTTCCTGGCTGTACTAATTATAGCTCTGATCAGTGACAAATCCTTTTTGTAGGATTGGACTGTAGCAGCGCATTCGCTGAATCGTTACGCACCTTCATCATCTTCCAATACTGGTTATGTCGGTTATACGGGTGGAGCAATGTTCGTGTTGGGCCTTTTCTCCCTGGTGCTCGGAGTTGCAATAGGTACAAGAATTCCTCATTTGTGGATGTTTGCTTCTCTATTTTCATATAAAATTTTCAGGTGCTGGTGGAGTTTTCTTCGTTACTAAGCGACAACGCATTTCTACTCTAGCTTACCAAGTTTTCGAATGAGTTAACGTTTTTGTTCTTGTAAATTCCATCGACTTGGCTTGATGACTGTTGTTTACAATTTTTTTTGCTACTTTTCACTTTTGAAGTTGAAGTTTTCATTTTTTCATTTGGTCCTCTTCCATGAGACTTAGCGGCTTCTTAGTTCTGCATAACTTATTTGTCTTCAGTTCTCATTTGCTATTGCGATACAATTACTTGTTTACGTACGAGTCGTTTTGTGTTTGGTGAAACGGTGTCTGTGTTGAGATCTAATTATCTGATTAAATCATTCTATACTAGAAGTTGTTCAAGAATATGGTGTACCAGTTTTGTCGGATACCGTCATTGTCGTGAAGTTTTAGCAAGTTGTCACGTTAATATTGGCTTGAAAGGTAGGTCGATGGCGCAACGCGTGACGTCATCAGCAGAACGAGCGTTGCGGATCGTTGAGAAGTCTTCAAGGGTACGAATACAGGATCTCCGCGACAACGTAGGGGCAAGAACAAGTGGTCGGCAAGTGACGAAACGCGCCAATCAAGCAAGTTTTGTTTGTCAAACTTTCAATGATGGTTGA